TACTCCTTAATTTGAACACTGACAAAAGTTACAAATTTTCATAATAGAAAATGGAAATTTTTTAAATGGGTTGAATATTTTGAATAGGTTCCTAGGGTTTAAAAATAATCCTTTTAAAAAAGGGCAGCCCGGGGATTTTAAAATTTTGCTTGATCAGAAATGCGGGAAAACTTTCCCCAAAACGACAAGCATTAAAAGTTGTTAAAAATTTGATTTACCATATAAAAGGGGGGGGCATCAGATTTTTCATTAATGTTCTGACTGTTAAGCTAGAAAATTTTTTTCCTCAGGGTCATTTAAGAAAACTTTGGGTTAAACAATTTTTCAAATTCATGGGCATTTGATGTGAAAAAATGAACTGAAAAGTTAAATTGTAAAATTTTTAAAAGGTTTAAAAAGGGGTTAAATCTAATGATAATTTAAAAAAAGGGGAAAATTTTATGATATTTTTTAATCACCCAAATTTTAATTTTTTTAAAGTCTTAACACTATGACCCTTTTAGGGCCATGCCCCATCCTAAATTTATGGGTAAGAGCCCATTCATATCTTTTAAGGGAATATTTCATGAAACATACATTAATTTTAGAACTGATGAGAAAGGAAAAAAAGTGCAGACAAATGACTTAAATGCACAGATGTTCCCTGGCATGTAGGACAGAAACTAAATGGTCGCTGCACATGCCTACATGGATAATTAATTTAGTTGACTGCTAGCAAGCTTAGAGACCAATTTGCGAAATAATTCTTTTTTTTTTAAGTGTTTAACTGCAGAAATACAATGTAGCAGATCTGTGCCCACAGAATACAGTATTAAATTTTGTAGTCTGTGTGTCTGAAGTTCATGGCAGTCTATCATTAAAACTGTTTATTTTTTATTGCTGAAATGTATATTTTAGTCCTAATCATGATTTGACAATTAACAATTTTACATTCTAAAATGTAAGTACATGTATACAAATCAATATAGGGGAAATAGTTTAATTAATCATCAATAAGGGTTTTTTATTTGTTTGGTTTTACGGCACACTTAGTGAAACACAGTTAAGTTCAATCATAGATGATCATGCTTGAGATAAATACAAAAATTTTATTAATTTTTAATAGTCTGACATACATAGAGAAACCATTTATAGACAAGTTTTTGCCTATAGATATAATTATATCTTTTGCTGATGGCTTATATATTTATTATATACTTATAAATGAAATATTGAGAAATATTGATGAAATAAAATGCATATTTTCATTTTCCGTATTTTCACTGTAAAAATTTATTTTTCACTGCAGTGAAACATATTTTCCATATTTTCACTGGTGTCTTGCCGGACTACTTTCTTTTAAATTCTGCCAGTACACAAAATTTAAGGGGAAGTCTTTCAAATTTTAATGTCAAAAAGAGAAAAATGTATATAATAAACAGAAAATTCAAGTTTTTTCTATAAATACACGATTTATTTTCATCTTGTGGCATGAAAATTACCATATTTCACTCGTGGCTACCGCCACTCATGAAATATTTATTTTCATACCACTCGATGAAAATAAATCATGTATTTATAGAAAAAACTTGAATATCCTATATTTATTAGCCATTGATTTGTATAGGTATAACCGGAAAACCTGTGTCATGAAATTTTAATACCAAAATGTTATATGGTAGCTAGGTATGGGGATTTGTTTTCCCGAGATCATACTTTTTGAGGCTTTTTATAAAAAAATACTTCCAATTTTAAAACAATAAGAAGGGACCCACAACTTATGTGTTAACTGAAAAATTTGGTGGCAAAAGATTACCTCCCTTTCACAAGGTCTATAGCCTATATATTTATACTGATATCCTGTTTTACAATTTGTGGTGTCATAAACCACAAAGCACAACTGTTACCCTCATTTGATTAACATCTTAATTGTGTCACAAAGGAGTGCCAAGCAAAGGTTTTTAAAAGTTTTGCTTTTGGGTATTATAAATGTGGGGTAAAAAAATGATCTTGTGAAATTATATTTTGTTTCTGATAAGAGAAAAGGTAATTTAATCTGGAATTGTGCATTTTTAATTAACAATTTAATATGTTATTGGAAATGTTGGTATATTGATCTGATGATTTGTTGTGATGGCCTGGGATACACAATCATGTAGATAAAAGTTTGATTCCAGGATGAACCATTGATGATGATGATGATAGAAATATTAGTTTGTTGATCTTGTGATAAGTGGAAATGAATGTTTTTATAGGCTGGGTTTTAATTAAAATATAAGATATATTTGAAAACTGGCTTAGACTTAAAGTTTTTTGTAAGTGTTAGTGTGTAACTGAAGTAGAGGTGTCATTGATTGAAACAATGTCAATATATCGTTGATATTTTCTGTCTATCAATAACCATAAAAATTTTAAAAACCCTGAAAATTTTTCCCCTTATTTTTTAAAAATGTCAGAAATTTAGAAAAATTCAAAAAAAAAACCAAAATACAGAAGCGGGGTGCTTTCAAATCAAACTTTACCCCTGTTGTTAAAAAAATAATGGAAATTTTTTTCCACTCCCAATTTGGTGACAAAAAAAGGGCCCTAGAAAAAAAGCATGCAAGGGGTTTAAAACAAACAAAAAACATTGGGGGTTTTCTTACTCGGGGCCCAGTTTGTCCCCTTCATTGGGAAAACTTTATTTAAAAAGCAAAAACTTTAAGAAACCCTTTTTTTTGGACAATGAAAAATCTTTAGGTTGTGTGTTTTATTTTTGGGGGAAATTGCCCCCAAATCGGGCTCCTTTGGGAAAATTTTTTTAAAATTTTATTAATTATTATGGAAATTAAATGTAGAAGTACCAAAACCAGTCAGAGATCATGGGTTTGAGCCCTATACATCCCTTTGAGAGTCACAACCAATTGCTTTCTCATAGGGCAGTCATGTTGCTCTGTTTAGTACAATGAAGCATAAACAAGAGTGGTTCAGGTTTTTTTTTAATATTACCTGCAAGCTTTCCTGAATCACAATTATGAACCAAAATAAATATATTTAAACTCAACAACTACATGTACATCGTGAATTAAGACTTAATGTGAAAAATAGGAAAATTTAGTAGCACAGCACCAATGTTTTTTAATTCAAAGTTTCAGCAATTTCGTGTTTAAATATTGTATTCTGATTAAGCCAGTGCAAGGGGGGCATGGACAGTAACTTTAAATATTGCAACAATTCAAATTTGTCCTTTTGGGCCACTCTCTTTAGGAATTCTTTTTTTCTCTATTTTTATACTGGAATCTTAAGCAGGAAAAAGGTCACTTGTACAATACCTTATTCCCTGCGGTCTGGAGACCGCAGGGTATTGGTACGCGTTTAACTTTTGAGGCATGGAGGAGCACGTGACCTGTTTTCGGAACATGGAGGAGCATGTGATCTGTAAACCGTACGTGATTGGTTAATTGACCTTTTCGAAAACCTAGCTAAATACCGTTTGCCGGTACGTTACGGATTTACCTGTAGGGAATAAGTCCGAATAACCTAATTAAGAACAAAAAAAACTATTACGTGATATTTCTAATTTTCTATAATTATTTTACCGTTTAAGGTGGAAAAAACTTGAATGATGTGTTTGAAAATGATCAATGTTTCTTTAATATCTATCTCAAATTTTACAAACAATGAATTGTTTATACTGAAAATCTACAAAATTAAAATATTCGTAGTTGCATCTGCCATAATAAATAGAGATATTTTCTGCGTAAACTTGTGTGTTTACTTTATTTATTTTTTGCTCGGAATTATTCATAAAATGGTAGGCCTATTGAATCATTTTCTTAAAAAGAAATAATTGCTTTATGTTGGACCTTCTCCGATCTTCAACTGTCACCAGTTTCCAAATACCTTCTTCTATATTGATCGTTTATTCAATTGTCAACTATATTCCTGATACAAGTGTTTATATACCCCCCCCCCCCTGAAATAATGCTCAAAATAGTTAAATGAAATATCTTTACATCATTAAAATGTTCACCGCAGGAAACCATTTTACTTGTTATCTGTTTACTTAGGTGTATTATTCAGTACATACAGGTACTACATTAATTATCCGGATAATGTATAAAATGAAAATATAGTAGATAGGAAATATATAGGTAAATGGATGATGACAAAACCTTAACTTTCATCGTTTCACTGCTTTAATTTTCATTATTTCACTGATTTAATACAATCAATTAATGACTGTTTCATAAAATATGTCTATCCTCTGATTTAGTTACAGAAAGTTATGCAGGAAGATTGATGTCATTTAATACAGCATTGTTGTAAAATAGATACACCAAATAGCTCTGATCAATATAAGCTGCCTCAGCAAATGATATTTGTATAGAAAATAAACATTGATTAAAACGATTAAAATGTTTGTTACACAGGTCATCATTATTGAATACGTCACAAAGCAGTTGATTAAATATGGCAGCTGCTGATATTATACCTTATATATACATTGTGTACATTGTTACATCATAAGGTAGTATAGTCGTCCATCCCTTCTGTGTCAATAGTCTGGTTGCTAGAAGTTTACAAATTTTGTGTACTGAGCCTGAAGGTGAATAAATCATTATCACTGCATTCCATTTGCATCTGTTGTTGTTAAATGTACTATTAATTTATGCATGCATACATAGGAGAAAAAAGATTTCACCAATATTGGATACAGTTATAATATATATTTTTTTATTTCATTCATGTCAATATATGCCACGTGTCTTGTCAGTACGACAGACTGGTTAAATGTGTGTATAAATCCGTGATTTTGTTTAAACGGGTATGTATTTTAAGAATTCACTGAAGCATGACTTAAGAAATTGTTTATTCAGTAAATGGTTCAACGGTTTTCGTTCTTTTTACAGATGCTATATATGTATACTAGTAATTGTTTAAATAAGTTTTCAAGTCTGTGCCATTATAATAACATGTAGTTGGATATTTTACACATTTTTATTGTCAGCTGTCTATTGATCTTTATATAGTACTTGAATAAGAGAGGTATAGATTGTTGTTTTTTTATTGGTTTAACGTAAAGTCATTCTTCACATACACACTGTTATTGATACCGGTAAAACGTGTACATGACTGTATAACGAATATAATTTTCAAATTACTACATGAACCAGTGCTTTTGAATTAATATACCAGTAACATATAATAAATTAATACTTGATCCTTTATATAGTGAGGATATTCTACAGTGAAAACAGATTCCATACCACAACGAGAGTTAACTTTTCTGTACTGTAAAAACTTGTATCAAGGAAGTAAACTGGACAGCGTGGATTTGCCATGTGTCAACACTATTAAATTAACAGACTGAATTTACTGCATGGACGTTCAATGGCTAATGTTAAAATTAGTATAGATGAAGTGGGACTTATATCACAAGTCACAGAAAATGTTGAAAAGGATCAAGAAAAAAAGGATTTCAGAAAGTTTCTGATTTGTGCACTAGGGATATTTGTTTGCCATTTTATATTGGGAATATTACAAGAATCTATGTAAGTTTTATTCTATTGAAATACTAGATTTTATACTGTGTTGAATTTTATATTTAAGCTTTATTATTGTAGTAAATGTAAAATTGTAATTGGAGAAGTGTGTTATTGTAGCCAATTTGAAAGACACCTGTAAAATCTTTATAGCCAGGTACACGTATTGAGTGTACTGTAATATGTGTATTTATCCATATGCTGCTAAGATTACTATTTAAATTATAGATTCATCCTGCCTTCAGTAATAAGTACAGTCTTTTGATATTATGAGGGATACTTCAGTTTTAAGATATATATCATATATTAAACTTATGTATATTTATACATATGAAGTAGCAGTTTAGAGCCCGACTTCATGTATGCATGTATGGATGGTAATGCTGGCATAGCATAGTTAATGAATTTTGGGACAAGTCATTATTGTTTCTTAAATTGTTATCTACCAATACATGTTTCTGTCAGCCTGCTTAGCTCAGTAAGGGATAGTCGAAAATATATTGACGTTTGCCAAAGCTTGAGTCTCTGAGATATTTTCGTTCTTGGCAGAATCTCGCTTTAGAGGCGAGATATTGCCCAGACACGAAAATAGCACAATATCTCGTTGCGCAGTATAATTAGTTGGACTAAGTAAGCAGGGCCTTTTTACCTTCTATAACAGGGGCCGGTATAGGGCTGCTTCCCCAAAGAAAATTTCTTTAAAATCATGCAGTTTTCCCCAAAAATTGAATTTACATCAAGTTTTTTCTTCCCCTTTTGCAAATATACCATGTAATTTTTCCCCAAAATTAAGGGCTGGGCTGCTTCCCCAACCTGTGAAAAAAAGCCCTGGTAAGGGAGAGCATTGGGTAATGAATCGGAGGGTAATGCTGGTACGATCTTCGGACAAGGCGTAAGTCCTCTGTTACAACTGATCTAGGTAAATGAGTCTAATGGTCATAATAGTCCGCTCTCACCACTGATTTGGAAATCATGTGGAGATTAGTAGTGGGTCAGTTGCTATAAAAAATGGTAATTACTGATCAGTTATCCAGGAAAGCTGGTCATAATTAACGGTAAGTTGATCGAGTTATAATTGGTGAGATATGGCCAAAAATATGGTAAAATCTGTGTTAAAACTTTACAAACAGTAATCGGATACCTGTTGATGGGAACACATGTTTTTAGTAGTGTTACAGTGTTTGTTTAGTAAACTGAAGTGTGTGGGTTTGAGTCCTCATGCATTGGATGTCAATCAATAACCTGTGGTGCTTCTGAGTGTCAATAGAATGTGAATATAAGGACTATAGGTGCAGTGTGACATGAGACTTACAGGGTCCACATCTTAGCAAGATGTGTATTATGTTAAAATTTTGTAATATTTGTCATCTATATACCTTAAACACTTGTAGAGGGAGATGCTGAAAATACAACACATAGATACATAGTATACCAATTGATTAAAAAAAATGACTATGATATATAGAAACATTTATTCATGCCTGAAATTTTATAAAGAAATCAGATTTTCATTTTTTATATATACAAGTAGCTTCATTAATTTACTGGCTTTATTCATAATGTCATGATTAAGCATATCATTATGTTTCAATAATGCTTTGATTATTCATAATCCTTTAAATTACACGGGATAAATCCCAGCTAAGACTGTTACATAGAATACATTAACATTAATGGGAGCATACCAGATGTCTCACAAATCATTAAATAGGTTTGGAGACTTGCATGGTTTATTAGTGAAAATATCAAGATATATCTTATTAGGGATGGAATGTTTCATTGATTTTTTAAGACCCAAGAAATTGTACTGCTGTCATAGAAGCTTTGATTGGTCATACAATGCAAGTCATTTTAATTCATTTAATAAAAATGTATGAATTGAATAATTCATAATGTTTTCAAAAGATGTTTACTCAGTCATAAATTACCCAAACATAAAGGGGTATTCAAGTTTACAGCCCTCAAGGGTTTTTATAAAAAATGTGTATTTTGTTGGCATATGTATTTCAAGATACAATGGTACAAAGATAAATTCTAATTAATGCATAAATTGTTTGTAAAAATCAAGAGATGAAATGTAACAAAATGAAACAAGTCTGGTCATCCTGTTGACAGGTACTTTATTAACCGATTTCTGAGTGCTATTAAAATAAATAATATTTAATAAATTACAATAAGTTCATGATTCATGATGACCTTATATAATGTTATGATATGTTTTTAACTCCCTAAGGTTACAGTCTTACTGTAATACTTCCCCAACAAAAAATTCTAACACTGGCCAATATTGTAGCAAATCAGTTATTTCTGGAATGTTATTTTTTCAAAATCTTGTGCATTAGAATTTATTTACAATCACTCATTCTTTATTGCTAAGTACTAAATTCTGGTTGTATACACAGTTTTAATATTATTGAATAATGTAGATTGTGAAAAATAACGTTTTGGAAATGATGGATTAAAATATTGCAATATTTGCCGATATTTGAATTATTTTTTTGGCGGGAAAGCATTACAGTAAGACTACCTTTTTAAACTTGCTGCAAATTTTGAACATTCATAGTTTCAAGGGGTGTCAACATCAAAATACAAAAATTGAACAACCAACAGTTATAATACTGGGCCTGCATGGTCGGACTGCAGTGATAATTACAGTATCCGGCCTGATGCAATCATCCAGAATGTTATAAAAGGGAAAAATAAAAATTCCTTTTCCATAGGTTCAAATGAGATTTTGTAATCATGCAGACAATTTCTTGTGAAAAACACCCATATAATACTGGTATTGTCTTGTAAAATTAATTCAATACGGGAGAAAACTTGTTTAAACTGTGTGACAGTGATTGAGTTAAATCTCACTGAAATGCATTGAAACATTGCAAAAAAAGTCTTTTATTGACTGTCAATATTGTTCAATCTGGACAAAGTCATTATCATTTATAGGGAAAATTAATTTCAAATGTGTACTGATTGAAAAACAAACAGTGTAGACCATGATAAGACAGCATCAATATTCCGGCTGATCTCGGTCTGCACTGGTCACATGAGTAACAGTTGCTGCCAACAGGCTAAAGGTTAAAGAATCAGGTCCTTTAAGTATTCTATATGAACAGCAGGTTTTTACCAGTATATTTTTCCACTTCTTATATACTTTGCTAATTGGTTGATTAATGGTTTGTTAAAGCAGGCAAGTACTTCAAAACTCTGCCATTTAATTGAATGTACATGTACATGAGAAGCTGAATTGTTGAAGTTATTATTATAATAGCAGCTTGTAGAATATTAACTGTATAAGATATTCACCAGGTCCTGCATTGTACCATTAGTTATTTATTTATTATCAAAAATAATTTGGACAACTTTATAATAATTGAGTTGGTACATTTTGAGTTATTAGTTTAGTTGGTACATTTCAAGATAGCATATTGGAGGCAGAATGTTTTGCATTTATGATTTAAATTCAGAAAATGAAGAATTTTTTTTTAAATTTAAAAGCTAAGTAGTTACATAACTGCTGACTTATGATCGCGTAAGTCAACGATATGACTTCAAGTCCAGCCTATATACTCTGATGTCATATTGTTTGGTTTGAGTGGTAGTTTTTGTAGTTATACCCTCTGGATCTTGGTTAAGTCAGCCACTTTGAATTCAGCAGAGTAGAGAATCAGCCACAACATCATTTCTTGGCATGCAGGCTGTCAGGGTATAAATAGTTCACTAGTACTTGATGCCTTCACTTTGACAAGGAACTGATGGTACTTCTGTATGTGCATGTAAATGCCTGGGAGCAAGGAAAGTGATCTGCATCATCCAGGAATCAGACCTGGTTTGCCTGTTTCATAGTCCAAAGCTCTACCAATTGTGCTTAAACTGGGCAGTGATTTAATTTGAGGACGCTTTTTACCTACACCTGTTCCCTAGTGGCCTAATGAATGAATGCATTATGATGTATCATGGCTGTGCATTTCATTTGATTTAATTCCATTTCAGATAATTATGGAACAAAAAACATAAAATCTGTGCTTAATATTCATACATTAAGTATAATATGCTGCTTTTTTGCTGAAGGAGTAGAATATTAACTGATCTTGTGTTTTCGAACAGCTGTTGTTAATGTTGAGAAGGCCTGTTTCATTACCAACATCAAATATTCATTTTACAGTTCATATAATAGATGTTACATGTATTTTCTTTCCTGTCAATAAATCATTAAAAAAGGTAAAAGAATGTGTGTTACCAGTGTCTGTTAAGATCTAAGGTAAAGAAAGGTCATTTGAAATGTTGTAATGACTTCATGAATTTTCTGCAAGTAAGACATCAAAGTCATCATTGATTGTGATAGGTATAATCCATGTGTATTTACAGAAATATTTGACAGTTTAAGGTAAATTTCACATCCATTAAACAGTTTCTCTTAATCTGAAATTTCACTCTACTCTCCTTTCACTCCTCCCTCCAACCAACCCTTCCCCCCCTCCCCTCCTACTGCCCTATCACCACTTCATCCCAAACCACAGCTCCTCTACCCAATTCAGATATCAATTCAAAGAACAAAACCAAATCTAAAAAAAAACACAAACAAACAAAATCATATAGAATTAAAAACTTAAACCTTAAAGAAGTTCAATTTACAGGTCTATTAAATTCAGTTGTTCTAATAAACTACAATTTCTATGTACATTAAATAATAAAATTATTATCAAGAAAATGCCTTACCTAGAAATGCAGGTTAAGTGATAGTATTAAGTTAGCTATTTATAGTTTCAAATATGGCCAGGGTCACAGGGCTCAAACAGGTTTGAAGTTGTTGTTAAATAAACTGTATAGTGTTTAACTCGGTCTGCATGTAGCTTACTTTACTGGCATTTAATTGCTTCTGATATTTTACACTTATGTCTAGGATTATCATTACATGTACATTGTATTGAATGGGGAAAAAATCCATATAACATTTTTACTGTTCAGAAAAGCTGTTGTCATTATGTATGACACACTTTTTATGATATTGACAAGACTCTTACGCTGTGATGAAAGTAATCATTAAATTTCTCTGCTTGAACAATGTAAAATATCTAAAGATTGACTTTTGTAAAACTTGCGCTTATCTCAGACCTCCATCTAAAGCCCCCTAGGCAGAATATTGTTTTAAAGATGAGCATTACCATAATTATGTATTAAGTATGCAGATTAATAGGAAATATAAAGTTCTTAATACTTAATAGAGATATGATCATTTTGAGGGTAGTCCGCAAAACAGCAGTAACTTATATATGATAAGGTAGAACTTACAACTGTATTGCGGTCAACCATTGATTTGTAATTTAAGAACTAAGCTTTGACCGTACTTTATTTACTTGAGGGTAGTTTTGCTTCCAAAGGTAGAGTGGTTAAGGTTGCTGACTGTAGATCTCTTGGCCTTATCAATGTGGGTTTAGATCACATCAAGAAATTTGGATTCTTTCATGTGAGGAAGCTATCCAACAAGATAAGAGGTTGGTGGTTCTTCTCAGGTGCCTGCTTGTGCCTGAAATATTTTAATACATGCACAAAGGGGCACCTGATTAATTACTCCACCAGTAAAGCAAGAAAGTCACAGTATGACACTGTTCTTTACAGTGGATGTGTGTGTTAAAATCCAACAAAACAACAAAAAAATACGAATGTATTTAATCAGATTGTAAAATTGTAAAATTTCTGATCAAGTTAAGACTTTTCATATTTCTTTTGTGCAATCAGTAATTAATTACAGGTTTAAGTCTTGGAAGATTCTAAGGTGCCTCTGTGGCAAAGTGGTTTAGCTCCCTGACTTTAAATCACTGGCTTAATTCACACACCAGTCCTGTTGGTTGGAATCACACCAGGGACTTAAAATTCTCTAATGTAAGGTGGCTATACTGAGCTAGCTTACACAAAACGTTCTTTCTACTCATTAACCTGCTAATGCTAAGGGGCCCCTGACTCATTCAACTTGCAGGATTTCAGCTTAAAGTTGCCTCTGACCTTAACTTAACCTTATCCCAACAAAAGCATATAGTCTTGACAGTGTATGCATTATGAGTACTTCATGGGTCTAAAACTGTGCAGCAACAACACCTCATCAACAGCTTTTTGAGTAGTAACTTAAACAGTTCTTAATGTTATATTGGTTATGGTTATGAGTTAACTTTTCTTTAATAAATGAGGTCAATTATTAATGACTTATCTTACTTTTTTTATTTCAGAACAAAAGGCAAATATGGCTCAGGAGATCATGAAGAAAAGTTCACCTACACTTTGGCTCTGGTTTTTGTACAGTGCATTATTAATGCAATATGTGCAAAATCAGGTAAGACTTATATATTTTGAATACCCTTTTTGTCTTTCTGGTTTGTGGCTCTATATATTTAAAGAATTTTTTTTCTTATTCGTGTTTCAGATATCTCTATCAAAGCTCATTTGTGAAAAAAATTGACAGTTTGACATAGTTACAGAATTTAATTTGATTTAATTTGAATTTAAATTACAGAGAGTTTAGCTTTCAAACTCTCAATTTATTTGATTTCCAATGATAATTAAAATTAAAGGCATGTATATAATAATGTGTCTGTTATTTATTTTCTATTCAGCAATGGCACTGTTTTCTAAAGACAAAGATACAACTCCCATGAAGATGTTTGCAGCTTGTTCCCTGACTTACCTCGGAGCCATGTTAGCCAGTAACCAGTCATTACAATACATCTCCTACCCTACTCAGGTAAGTACAGTACAACCTTGACAGAGTAACCCTCTGTAGAACAATCACCTCTGTAAAACAACAGTATTAATTTTCCCCAAGGCAAAAATTCATTATAAATTTAATCTATACAGAGCAAGTATCTCTTTAATTTTTGTTTTCAACTTTTGGTTTGGGTTTTACGTCTTGCCAACAAGTATAGGTCATATAGGCACGAACAGGAACCTGAGAAGAACCACCAACGTTTCCTAAGCTAGCTGGATAGTTCCCTCACATAAATCCAAAGTCCCTGTCAGGATTCGAACCCGCAGCAGTGAGGGGGCAAGTGGCTTGAAGTCAACAACCTTAACCATTCAGACCACGGATTCCCCCCCCCCCACACACACACTTTTAAATAGCAGCATAAATTTTTCCCAAAGCAAGACATCACAATAATATAAATGTCTGTAGTCTGAGCAACAACCTTTAAGTAGAAACCAAAACTTTTGTTTCATAAAGAGGGTTGCTCTACAGAAGTTTCACTGTAGCTTATAAGTTATTTTATCCCGTCAAATACTTGACACGTTGAACCCAGTGGGTCTGGCGATGTTACTGTCTAACTGTAAATTCATGGATCACTAGTTTAGTTCTTACTACACCGAATTACTAATGGTGTTAAAATGACACTTAAAATCCTAGGTCTTGTGTAATGGAGCTTTACATGGTGTATTTTGAATGAAAAAGCAGTTTTTCCCTAGGATGGAGTTATTTCTGAATCCATTAATTTCACTATCCTAAGAAAATATTGCCCTGTTTGTTGTTATAAATAATATTTACAATTTTAGAATTGTATATTCATCAAGCATGAAGCATGGAGATTTGACAAGATATCTTATTGCCCCTGGTCTTTTTAACAATAATTTGATTTTATAGGATGTCACCAAAAGAGATAGTAAATGGTAATTTTTCACAAGTTTTCAATGGATGTGTTACCTTTATTAAAATGTGTATTGTTCTTTGTGATATGATAATAAACTTAGACTGATTTTTAGACAAAAGAGATTACAAGTATAACAAATAGATAAAGAGTATAAACCCTAGAGTTTTTTCCCTTACACTTCTGCAGGGGTCTTCTTGGCCCAATGGTAAAGGTTACTGACTTCAAATTCCATGCAATTCTGTGCTGTGGGTTCAGATTCCACCATCTTGCTCACAGAAAGTTGTTGATGTTTAGATAGTGCACAAAGTGCAATGTTGGGAGTTTGCAATATGATCATTAAACTTTGACTTGACCTTCCAACTTCCCCATGTGAAAAGAAAAATAATGATGCTTGTATGTTTCACAGTCATTAAAAGGTTTATCTCCCCTGTTCTTGATCAAGAAATGGAAAATAAATTTTACTTGATAAACATATATGAATACTGTATCTTTGTTTTTCAAAATTCATGTATATATAAACATATATGTATTAAATTGTGTCACATATTATGTCACATTTTTTATTGCTTTTTTTCGCCAAAACTAAAAGTGTACATATAATTAATTTCTGGCCATTTTGTTCGAGTTACATATTTTTCAATTACATGTATACTATTATCAGAGTTATAACCCATTTTTCTTACAAAATTTCATTTTCATATACACTTAATTATAGGTTCACCAGTTTTAAGTGACATATTTGTTTTCTTGCTTTTTCAGGTACTCGGAAAATCTGTGAAACCGATACCAGTGATGATACTCGGTATCTTATTTGCCGGAAAGCGGTACCCACCGGCGAAATTCCTGTTTATATTGATGATCTGTATAGGTGTGGCGATGTTTATGTTTAAAGATAAGAAGCCAACCGCTAAAGAAGAAACTCATACCTTTGGGTTTGGAGAAGTTTTATTGGTAAGTACAAGGTGTATTTGATTTATTTTAGTACAAGGCTTGAAAATGATCACCGGGGAGACTTGTTAAGAACTAAAAATAAAATTAGAAAATTCTTGATTCAACATTTTGCATGAAAAGAGATTTTAAAAAATCATCTGTATTAAGCATCTAACTCAAAAGAAATAATAAAAAATACTGCATGTAGGAGATACATGTAGATTTGTATTTTATAGATATAACTATTGAGCACTTGTTTTGAATAACAAACAAGATGTATTTAAGAAGAAAGTAAAACTGTTATAAATGTACTGCACTGCATTTGGAGCTCTACATTGTTATTCTAACCCTTACCGTGCTTTATATCTTATTAAATAGTCTTTTGCATCTTTAAATCTGGACAAAAGCAATCATTTTGGTCAATATACAATTTTAACTCTTGGCTTGCTTTTGGCCTCAGATGTAACCCATGTGACCAGTGCAGACCAAAATGAGCATGAATAGTGCATATTGGTCTGTATTGGCTGCATGGTCAAGGATTAAGGTATTTTTAAAGTTGACAATGCTAATATTTAGCACCAAGCCTAACAGTTGAGTCTAGCTTGATCGACCAGAAGCTTAGCCTAGCTTTGCTCAATGTGGGTGGAATATGAAATATCATTGTAACTAACATTTTGAAGATTATTAAAATTGATTTACTAGTAAACAAGGACCTATTGTATTGTGCTTAATTTACTAAAAAAAAGTTTTACATTTATCATTTAATTTCATTTAATGCGGTAGAATATTCATAACAGTTGAAGCTGTAGATACCATATAATTAGGTATTTGAAAATGAGAAATTCCAGTCTGATCAGGATCCATGCTGTTCGCTATCAGTTTCTCTACTTGTTATAGAGTATGTAAGGGAACAGCATGGTTCCTGATCAGACTGCGCGGATGCGCAGTCTGATCTGGATCCATGCTGATCGCAAACGCACTATGTTGGTTTTGTCGTGACACGGCTCAAATTTATTATTGTGTTCTGTTATTTCAGATGGTGTCACTGACGTTTGATGGATTGACTGGGGCTACTCAAGATAGAATGAGATCAAATCATAAAACTGGGGCCTACCATATGATGTTGTTTGTAAACTTGTTTTCAATTCTGTGGCTGGCATTAGGTAAACTTTGTGACAGTTAACTTTATATGTTACAAATTTCACTGATAGAATTTTGAAAATTAAGGAAATGGAAACCAGTCAAAAATTAGTATATTGTATTTGATTGGTGGGACACTAGATTTGAAATTAACCAATGGCATGGTTTCATTATCATTCTTGTTTTTAAAAGTTATTGTATGGCTGTTAAGCTTTGTTTCATGGTCATGTTTAGAACACGGACATTAATCAGGACATAAATATGATATTGTTTTTATCTATCAACATTTGTCTCCCTTTTTCCACCAAAATATGTATGACAGATGTAGTGACTCAAAGGGTCTGCTTTTTAATCCAGGGATTGTGGTTTCAAGCCCTACTTAGATGAGGGCAATGTTATCTCTTAAGACACTGGGCTTCAAGTTTATAAAACTTTTTTTCTTCTGAGATTTGTCTGAAAGCTCAAGATTTTTCTTGGTCAGTGTAACTTCTATACCACTTTCTTAACCGATCCAATACCTGAGATATAAATTTGAGAGAAGTTCTTTTTAGCATCAGACCCTGGTTACAGAAAATGTCCTCAAGAGTAGTTTAAATGAATTTTAGGATTTCATCATGATCAAGCAGTTATAAATGTGTTGAAATTAAATGATTTATTTGAGATGTTTTTCTTGACTTCATAATTCTGGCTATTTTAACTCTCCCATACAATGTATATCAAAATGAATTGATGTTTAACTCCTTCATTGTTTTCCTACTATGATTTCCCAGAATTTGTCAAAATAATGCAGGCATCTTTAGACTAACTTATAAATCTGAATCTGACCATAATTGTACAAAATAATTTAAAGGCCCATTATGCCACAGAAATGCTACCAATATGATGTATCAAAAACTTTTAATTCTTGGAATCTTGTAATATTTGAGCCACGTCAGGACAAAACCAACATAGTGGGTTTGCGACCAGCATGGATCCAGACCAGCCTGCGCATCTGCACAGGCTGATCAGGTTTCATGCTGTTCGCTATTAGTTTCTCTACTTCTAATAGAGTTGGTAAGCGAACAGCATGGATCCTGATCAGACTGGGTGGATGCACAGGCTGGTCTGGATCCATGCTAGTTGCAAACCCACTATGTTGGTTTTGTCATGATGCGGCTCATTTTTCAAAGGAATACTCATTTGCCATGTAATATTGACTATCTTTAGCAACTTTAGCTCTGTTGGCAATCAAGTATAATAATAATGATTTATATTTTGTATAGAAGTCAAAATACTATTTTGTTTACATTTTGTTACGTTTACTACACATTACTGCACATTCAACGCCACTTTCTTCAGCTGTTAAACATATAACATGCCCTAAATCCATTATTCAAATACTATTAAACACATGCTTGACATTTCTCAAGAATTAAAAAAAATATTGATTTCTGAGTGTGCCTTTAATGTGATATCATCCAAACCTACAGATACCTTAAAAATTACCAGAAAAAAGAAACCGAACACAAACTCTAATGTACTTGCAGATTAAAGTATTCAATTAAAATATTTTATTGGTTATAAAAAGTAATTTGTCTAAAATTTTCAGGGTTGGTTTTTACTGGAGAAGGAATAGCTTTCCTTGGTTTTGTACAAAGATATCCATCTGTGATGCCTAAAATGGTAACATTTGGTATAGCCAGTGCTATTGGGCAGGTAAGAAATTTTACTAGAAAATTATGATAATATTAAATATACATGTATAATACTCCTTTACAGATCTTCAAAATAAAAGCTTGAGACAGATTATTGAAAAGGAAAAGTCACATAAGTACCATTTCCTAAGTACATCCGTCAGTCAGTCCGTCCATACGTACGTCCCAAATTCCTGTCCGGCCCATAACTTTGTTATATGAAGTCAGATTTTACAATTTTCTCACATAAATGATCACCATATTAAGACGACGTGTCCGCGCAACATTTGGGTCCCTACCTTGAAGGTCAAGGTCACAGCATGACCTTGCAGGAAAATAGTGTCCGGCCCATAACTTCGTTATTTGAAGTCAGATTTTACAATTATTTCACAGAAATGATCACCATATTGAGACGACATGTCGTGTGCAACATTTGGGTCACTACCTTGAACGTCAAGGTCACAGCATGACCTTGCAGCAAAATCATGTCCAGCCCATAACTTTGTTATTTGAAGTCCGATTTTACAACTATTTCACAGAAATGATCACCATATTGAGACGACATGTCGCGCGCAACATTTGGGTCGCTACCTTGTTTTTACACTTTGAACTTTGTCTGTGACATAGCTCCTGACACTACAAGAGGTATCCCTTCCTGTGTCCAAAACCTTTTCGGGAGCATCACTTGTTTCAACCGGCTCTTATTTTGTAAAATAACTAAATGCATAAGCAGTTTTTCTTTTACTGTTACATTATATCTACATGTATCTAGTAATGAGTAGTAATTTTTACCATGCTGCTCCAATCAGCCCCATGCTGCCCTAATATCAAAGTGATTACTCCTCCTACCTCATTTTCGTATCGTCTTAACATATTATCGATTATTATTATATCTTATTTTGATAAATGTCATCCAGTTTTTCATTTTATTTCTCCAGGTGTTCATTTTCATCACTGTGACATCATTTGGTCCACTACCATGTTCAATCATTACAACAACTAGGAAATTTTTCACCATATTAGGATCTGTTATACTCTTCTCGAACCCAATGTACCCTCGGCAGTGGGCTGGAACAGTTCTTGTATTTATGGGTCTTGGACTTGATAGCGCCTATGGAAAAGAAAAGAAAGATGCAAAGTTGGAGAGATAATGTTTATTTTTACTTAGGTTTTCATTTTATTTGTTTTCATAGTTAAGTATTTATGTATTTATAAGTATTAGATACTTATTTTATGGTGATAATTCTTGATGTTTAACACTCAAAAAATTTTAGGATGAACGTTTTTGTCTATTTTTTCTAGTATAAATGCTGGTATTATATCTTTTTGGAGCATGTGTTGTGAAACTTTTCAACAGAAACAAGAGCAAAGAGGAGCAACGGCCTAGGGGTTAAGGTGTCTACCTTTCAACCCAGGGATTATAGGTTTGAGCACTGCTTTGGCCACAAGTACTGGTTTAGTTCCTGGAAACTGACTTGAGAGTTGCTAATAGAAACTGCAACCTCTTGTTGCAATCTGGCATACATAGATTATGTTTAAAACTATAGCATTATTTTTTGGGTTTGATTTAATCACTGTCTAACAAACTGTTATATTATAAGGAGAATGAGTGATAGCAGACAGGAGATTAAAGCTAGTCATTTGTTTAATATTGTCAGCTGCCTTATCATCTCAGTGAGATATTTTCTATATCACCCACTGTATATCAGTCATTGTGGAAACATACTGTTTATCATTATGAAGTAAATTATTTGTTATAATATTTTAACAAATACATAACTTAATCACATTTTAAGAGGGAACAATTTTTTGTTGTTGAATTTATATCCTAGTTTTGTGAGAATATTTGATAAATCATCCTTATGTGAAAATATAATTCTCACTGACTGAGACAAAGGGAAAAAGACAATAATGTATAGTTTGAACTTGCGGGAAATGACATTATTTTTTTTTTGTCATTCGAAAATTAATTTAATTAATTTGGAAAGAAAATTATTTCTTGGATATGCGGAACTTTTTTTAACCCCAAGAGATGATTTGTAGGATATTGGCACTGTCAGCTTATGTGTGTTGTACATGGAGGTTCAGTAAAATCTGTTTTAAAACCTTTAGAATTAATGAACTTTGGACATAAAGACATATCCTGGGTACAACACAACTTTATACATGTAAGTACAATTTGTAGTTCAGTGAAAACTAAAAATGTTGAGTCAAAAAAATTAAACTTAAATTAAAAAAAGAACTTTGGAACATATATACAACATGTACAAATGTACAACAATATTTTATTATGCCCACAATCAAAAAAGTGGGGTATTATACTTTTCCGTTGAATGAAATTAAAGAACTGGTATTATAACAAAAGTTGTGTTAAAACTTCAGTATGGCCTTCTGTCCCAAGTGTATCTCCTTCAGATTCCTGAATGTTCACACCTCATATACATGCATAGATCTTTTAGTTTCACCACTGTGTGACAATGTTATTTTTATTAACAAAAGAATATAATTATGACAATATTCACAGTTAAATTTATTGTTATTCAAATAAAAGGTCAACATAAGGATCTCTTAATATAGTTTTTATCTGGAACTCGACACAAGTTAGTCTAATGTTTCAGCTTAGTAGTACAATTTACAAAAGATAAGTCAACCTGTGATGCTTATTTTAGAAGCTGTAACTGTAATAAAAGTTGTTTGTCCACTGGTTAATTGGGAAAACTCTTGAATATTTTTTTTTATTTCCAATGTATATTTATAACAGGATCTTTTTATTTTTATTTCTCAATGTTTCATTTCTAATGTATTTATGAGTCATTTTCCTTTACATTCAGTAACTGTTGATTATTGAAGATTTCTAGATTATTTTTAGTGACAGATCCTGTTGTTATTATTGTCATCAAGTTTGAAAAGGAAGTGAAAATTTTATCGCTCATCATGTCTAATTTCTTGTGGATATATTTTTGCCATTTCAAATGATTTCTGTATCGAGATTAGTCATTTACATTTACAGTTAAAATATAATCTTGTGAATAAGTAATAAGTATTGATTTTTTTCAGAATATCGGCCTCATTAAAAAAATATTGTGTTTGCTAAATGTCGATTTTATTTTTACTTTATTATCTTACACTTCTATTGTGAGCATTTTTTTCTTAATGTCATATGTTCTGTATTATTGTTGAGACTAAGCAATATTTTTACTCTATTTCATGACATTCATTATCAAAATATTTAACTATATAATTAGAAAAGTCTTCATAAGTAACTCAGAAAGAAATTCTTGAAAATTTGTCTGTTACATATTCAATAATCCAAGAAAATAAAAAAAAGCACAATGATTTCACATTATCAAAAAATGAATCTCAGTTAAAAAATATTTGATTAGTATTTTTCAATGTTTGAAGATTTTATTATCTTTTCATTATCATTTGCAAAGGTAGATGCTTTTATTTGTACGGAAGACATGTATAGAATTTCTATATTTTTTTCATTTATCTTATGATCTACTTATTAAGTTATCTTTAGTAGTAGCCATGTTTTATTGTTATGCCAATGTTTAAAATATGTTATGAGATGTCCGTGGCCAAATAATTATGGTTGTTGACTTTAAACTACTTGCCCCTTACTGCTGTAGGTCCAAATTCTACCAAGAACATATGATTCTGTGAATATTTAATGGGAAGAAGCTATCCAGCTAGCTTACAGAACATCCGCGGCTCTACTCAGGTGCCAGCTTTTACCTGAATTTATACACAGAGAGGGAATTTGAGGTCTTCATCTGCCAGTAATGCTGGAAGTTGCCATATGACCTTTAAACAAAAAAAAATACCAGAGGTTTATTACAGATGTACCTGAAAAAAATCTGACTAAACATCTAAAATATTTCCCTATTCTGATTTATACCTTTTAAACTTCCTATTTTACCTAATTAAACATTAATAATAAAAGTGGTTTGTTGAACACTGATCAGATTGTTTTGATCTTTTTGTATCAAGTGGTAATTTGAACATAAAATTTGCCGAGGGTAAAACAGATAGGAATCTTAAAAAACCTGCAAATTGAACTTCCTTATTGAGGTTTATAATATAAATTATCATTGTTTTCAATCATGAATTTGTTAAAAGCTTTTTTATTTAACTCCATTTAGTTTCTTAAAATTTAGATATATTGAAAATATCTTATGGTTTAATGAAGTTACAAACTGAGTTGTTTTGGGATTTTTCTCGTATTTTATATGCATGAGCAAGTTTAATCAGAACCTAAAAACATGTTACTAGGTTAATGATAAAATTGTTTCTATCATTGAAATTAAAACTTGACATTTTATCCTTAAGAGTACAAGCATTAAAAGTGGTATCCCTATAAAAACTGACGCACTGACAAACTCATAATATTTGTTGGCTTAAATGATTGCTAGTCGTGTGGGTTCAAACCCCGTCAATTGCAAGCTGTTGTTTCCTTGAGCAATAATCTTTCTACTCATTGCTTATTATTGTAAAATGGAGGAATGTAGTCTAGTACTGGTGTTACTTTCCAGGAACGATGGTTAGGAAACTCCGCCTATATGAGTGAAATACTGTTGGGAAAAGGCGTAAAATGAAACAAACAAACAAACAAACAAAACACTTAAACAGTATTGTAAAATTTCAAGAACAGATTCTAGAGTATGTCCATAAACTTATAGCTTCCTAAGTACACTATTGAACTAAATGACTTTAGTTTATTCATAGTTATCTCTAAATCTTAGTTTAGATATAATAATTCAATTTCATTTTAAATATGTTTGAAGTTGTTGATTAAAAAGTTTAGATTAATTCAATTTCATTTTAAATATGTTTGAAGTTGTTGATTAAAAAAGGAAATGATATACTTAAGATTTAAGGAAATAGATAATTATTATGAGTGTGTTGTTATAGAATAAAGCACGATTTCAGTTCAAAATGCGTAGATATACAATTACAAAACCAGGTACGCCCTGCGTTATTGTACTTGATATCTTGTTCAGTTCTATTATGAAAAATTGAAGAAAAAAAAGATTATTATCTATTTCAGTTCCAATATGAAAAATTGATATTTCTTTCAGTTCCAATATGAAAAATTGATATCAATTTAGTTCCAATATGAAAAATTGATATCTCTTTCAGTTATCATGTGCTAAATGAGAATCAATGAAATATGTTGAATAAAAATTGCACAGAAGCATAGTTTCATGAAGTCATTTGGTTTATTGATTTTTATGTAATATATGTCGTGTAAATATTTATTTCCAATATATTGTGCATTATCTGAAGTGCTCAGTCTATACTGATTGGCTGTGAAATGGCTATTAGTTTTTTTTTAAATTGTGCAACACCTTTTACGCAAAAATAAAATAGAATTATTTTCATCATGTTATGATTTACCTAATGTTTTCCGGTGTTTTCAACAGTAGTTTATAGAGAATTAGTTTAAAGAAAACAAAAACTGATGTTCAAATGTCACTCATACGTTGTTGGCATTTATTCTATATGTATCATGGTGGCTGATTTCTACTGGAAATGTTCTTGTTAATCTGTGGGGCCAATATTTATGTTAGGTTGTTCTTTATAGTTTATGACCAAAAATATATTTTTGATAAATGGTTCTGTAAAAGTCAGATTTTCTCACATTTAGACCTTTAAAGATATACCAGTCCCATTGGCAGCACAATCTATGTGCCAGCAAGACGGGTATATTACCTTAGTTTTTGTGATATGAAATTATTGATTTAATTACCGATTTTTATTGTATTTTCATCCTATTCTTTATTAGAGTTTTGGTTGAAAGCTATGTTCATTTTCCTCTCTAAAGTAAAGGTTTTATATATTTCTATATAGATCTGTATAAAAGGAACAGTAAGCATATCCATCTGGTATAGTAAATTCTTGTAATTTTAAGAAATGTTACTGGAAAATTAACTATAATAATGCATTTTTTAGGTTGATTTATATGACAATCAAGTTAATTTGCGAGAGAAGCAAATCAATTTATTGGTCTAAAAGTTAATTTGTTTCAAGGGTTTAATGTTGTAGGGTTTATGTGTAAGACAGTATGAAGACAGAGATTTCTGTTAATTTAATACAGAGCACACATTTATTGTGTCAGTTTAGATTTTATTCTTTATTTGTTTATAGTTGATGATAATATAATTTGATGTTTTAAAATTCGCTGTACAAATATTTGTGAACAATAAAGTCTATTTTATGGATTTTTTTCACTGTTGTGTTAAACCACTAAGCCAGAAGAGCCCGGAGGTGAGCTTTTTTGGTTGCATGATCGATGTCCATTGCCCGTTGTGCTCTGTCCGTCACTATTCACATTTAATTTCAACATCTCGGTAACCACATGGAAGCTTCACTGTAATCATTCTTCTATAGTCTTCTACAATTAGTATATATAAATGGTTCCGGTCTTATGCATAAGTATGTCACAAAGGCTAAAAGAGACTAAAATGAATTCTTAAACAATCTTCGGCAGAAACTACAATACCCAGAGACGTAGTCCTCTACAAGGGTTATCTTAATATACTACTCAACTTTTTTAAAAACCAGAAGTTAATTTTTATGTTATCACAAGTATGAAACAAATTTGTTAACAATTTGGGAAAATTATGATTCAGCAATGTTTTGAGATAGTCCCCTGACATGAATCCGGGTTGACAAAATCCGTTTCAACTCGTCTAGGTAGCATGAAAAACATGTACCCCAATATTTTCATGTTTTTTATGGTGTGTACAGTCACATGTCTTTTATTATACGGCGACATTACCGGTTTATTGCCATTCAGTGGCATCTGTCACTTCGATATGGCAAATGCTAACATTAGGGACATTTGAGAGAAACAGAGTTATGAAGGTCTGTAGGGATGGTGCAGTAGGGGGTGCAACTTCCGCCAGTTTGGTTCGGCACTTGTACACCACACCGTCATCACCAGAGCCTGGGAGAGATACCTACTACTTAGTACACCCGCCAGGGGGCATGCTGGAGGTCGGCAAAGTGTCACAATACCAGCTAAGGATCTGAATTGATAAAACAGTAAATCAACATTTGAAATATAAATTGCATGGCGTTAGTAAAATTATCCCAAAAAATATTCACACTAAAACATATGTTGCATAGCAAAAGTTGAGTAGTATAATAAACATAGGTTGCACACATTCGGTCACACCCTGGGGATCTTTTAGTGTATAAACTTGCACGGGGAAATGTATTTAACTCTTCTTCTACGAGACACGCGTGTCAGAGCTTAAGATACGGTTTGCGTTTGGTATTTAGCATTGCCAACTGTTCCTCTACAAAAAATAAAACGATCAAAATTCCCATTGCCGCAGGAGCATATTGACTAGTACATGACGCAGACTTATAAAAATGTTCCGGGGTTAAGATATTTGGCATGTAACTTAGCTTTGTTGCCCTTTCTATAAGTTACTTAACTCGTACCCCATTGTCAAAATTGAGGTCACTTAATTAATATAGAATTTTATAGTAAAACACATTATAGTCTTTCTAGTAAGAACTAAAATGAATCTGTACGATGTCATGATATTTGTCATTTAGTCCTCCAGAGTGGCCTTGTACACAATTCATCAAAATGCTCAGGTTACATAGACCTAAAATCTCCGTAACTACATATCCCAGGGTTTAGGCATTTTCCCCTCAACTTTGCCGAGCTAGGCATTTAGATGAGCATTGTTTGACCATTATGGTCCTCTTTTATCGAGTTTCAAATGAAATGCCATTTTTTGTATTGGCCTGTATCTCAAATAGTTAATATTTTCTTTCATATTTTTGTCATAATATTTTCAAAGTTATAAATGCTTTCCGGAACACAGCAAATATGAGAATATCTTGTGCAAACACACTTTAACCGTTTTAGTTTCACGGCGCACTAGGCCTGATGTTCAGAAAAAAGTAATCATCTCATAAAACAAGATTAAATTTGTATGAAAACATCCGTAACAATGCGAAAATATAACACTGTGACGTAACGCATACACAGGCTGATTATAGTCTTCATTTGCATGTTAAAATTCGTATACGAACTTTAGTGTTTCCGTGGGGTTTTCCGTTTAAAATCCTTATTTATGAACAATATTTGATGACATTTACAACAATACTGTTAAAAAGGTTAATGTAACTGTAGAATGCTTGGTTTTTAGGCCGACTGCAAAATATTTTCAATTATTCATTTAATGTAGCTTTAACTGTTTACCACTGCAAACATTTACATGTACCATCGAGTAAGATTTTCAGGTCTGTACCGACAGCCGCGGGCCGGCGTTGTTAGATCATTAAAAGCTTCAAACGCCTTCGAATACACACGCACGCTCTCAAACACACTCGCGCACGCACACACTTCGGAAGCGGAAATGTAACTGTCCTGTAGGTTTCAGGGCTTCAATTACCATCACTTGCAGCATTGCTCGTTTTAATACAAACATCAAAAAATATAAGTAAATGATAGTAAGATTTTTTAAACGTAATATATTCTATTTGTAATTATTCGATCATTTGTACCACTTCGCAATAGTACAATATATCATCTACAGTCATTAGATCTATCTGATCCCAAAACTTAATGGAATGTAACGAAAAGTTTAATACTAAAAATGATTGAGGAAGTTTTCACTTGAGGTGCGTTTGATGATAATTACAGGGGAAACAACAGATATGATGTGATATACTCTACATTCATAGTGTTGGATGGAGTACTAGTAGTCGATTTCGTGAGCCGGATGTCACACACTTGACAAACAATTAGATCTAACTCACGATTCATTCCACTACATGTAATCGTAAACAAAGGTTTATTTAAAACATGTGTAATTTTAAAAGTTACAGCAATTATTAACATTTTCTTTTGAAATTGTGTATTTTATCTCAATAAATAATAATTTGGATACTTTATATAAAATGCCAAGGAATATCTGTTCTCTGTTTTCGGTTATATTATCAGCAGTGATCATGACAGGGAAAGGTAGGTTTTGATTTTGTTATATTTGTCGCTTATCGTTTTTTAATGTATCTTATTCAGAATACTTTGCTACTATAACATAACGTTACGCCTATGTTTTTATCATTGAATAACCAACTTGTAGGCCTAGGCTTACATAGCCTCATAAAAACTACACCACTGGTCATAATATTATGACTGGGGAGTCGATATACTTTAAGAAATATAGAGCGGGAGGTTCATAATTCTATGAGGGCCACTTTTCTTCATTATACTGGTTTTCCATTCCGTAGAAACAGTTAGCATAATCAATATGCCTTTGCTGCTTATGGCATGACTATTTTTAGTACCTTTAAATTATTCTACTTACTAGGTGTAGTGCTAGACTGTTATAATACAACAGTTAAGGAGTACGACGGCCATCAGCAGACGACTGTTACCGGAATACCGTGTTTACGATGGGTTCAGTTTCAGCAATTCAATGACTTCCCAGATGCCACAATATCAGATGCAGCTAATTTCTGTCGTGCTTTAGGATTTAACACACCATGGTGTTATATAACAAAACAAAAGTCTTGGGAGGGGTGTGGCATCAATAAATGTGGTGAGCAAAAATATATCGTTTAACACAAATGTATAATTAGTGACAAGTAATTAAAATTTCTTTTTGTGATTTAAGAGTGTTATCTTGCAAAAATGCATGGCGAGTTTCCCATTTAGTAGAAGTTACAAGCAAATTAACATGTTTTTTGTTGCTTATGTCTTACATGCTTTTAATTTCTTTATTTCTGTATGGATTACAAGATTGTTATAGTTCTCGTTTTTTATTTTTCTGCGTACGACTGTTATCACTAGCATACAGACGTCTGTTTTTGCCAAACCGTGTTTACGATGGAGCATGTTAAGGCATACAGTTCTACCTAGATAGCACAAAGTCAAACGCGACTTATTTCTGTCATGCTCCTAAATATCAAGAGCTGTGGTGTTATATCCAAACATCTTTGAAAATGGGCTTGAATTCAGTTTCAATTGATTTGGCGAACAAACTCTCAATTGAATAAGCTGAATAATAATCTTTGGCACTTACTGTAGTTTATAATTTAATTTTCATTTAATTAAGGTTGTCAAGATTGTTTTCGAAGAAAAATGTTGTCGTAATGTAACATTTAAATAGAACGGTTTGATTGGGTTTAGCTTGATAATGTAAAAAATTTGATGTAATCGGCAGCTTAGCTGAATAGTGAGAGTATTAGTTTGTTATTATACAGGTCAAGCGTTCATCACGACCAAGGTCAGATTTTTTTAAAAAAGTATTCCAAATGTTTATCCTCATTTATAAGCTCGTGTTTTTCTTTGGGAAAAAAGATAAGATTATAATAAGTCATGTTGGCGTTGCCGTCCGGCCGTCCGCAAAACTTAAAAATTGATAAAACGTTTTAAAGTTCTTGGTATACAGTCTTCACACTTGACCACAACATCCCCTTTTGACCTACCTTGACCTTTATTTATAATGACATTGACCTTCAAGGTTACATGTTTAAATTTCGCTTAGTTTTTGCTGATTTTTGCTATTAGTGGCTATAACCTTGTTATCTTTGAATGGATTGTCTTCAAACCTGAACACAAAAATATGTTAGGATAGACCTTTAAGGTGACTTGGTAAACCTTCACTCTTAAATGTCATTGACTTGGAAGGTCAAATTTTCATTTATCAAAACATTTCAACTCTTTTGCTGTAACTTTACTTTTGCTTTACCTTTGTTATTATTGAATGAATTGACTTAATATTATAATAGAACATTCGTATGGATAAGAACTCTATGAATATCGAACTCAAATTGAACTCGACTCGTGTATGATCTTGACATTGATGGTTAAATTATTGAATGTTTACAGATATTTGCTATTATTGAGTTCAACTTCGTAATTAATTAATGGATTATCTTAATACTTTGTAAAACCAACATTTTGGACGGGACCTTCTAAAATGTTTAACTGACTTTGACGTTTAGTTTAATAATATTTTATTGTATAAATATACACACAATATACAAATTTCATAATTTTACAGACATTATCAAGTGTACATACAAAAGGGTTGGGCCAAAAGTTCTAACAACATTATCGTGGGCCCTTCCCTGAGGTTAGTCAGACATAAGTTTATACTATTTGAATAAGGTTGTGTGATATCAAATAATTATCAATTTCAATTTTAAGTAATTTTCAGGAACTAATTTTCATGAACTCATTTTAACAAATGTTTTTATGTAAATATAAATTAATCAAATGAACATTTAACAGGGAAAAAAGTATATATATAAAATAGAAATAAATAAAATTATGATAATAAGAGTGATTAAATTAAGTTATTTAAATATTTTAAATGTATAAAGTATAAGTTTCAAAAGTCAATAGTGTTCCATTTAAAGTTATTTATGGCTTTTGAATTACGTGTTCTAAGTATCAAATTTTGAGAAAAATGAATAAATCTATTATAATAGAATGAAATAACAAAATTATTGAATTAGTTACAAAAACTGCCAAAAAAAATAATATTAATAAATAAATAAATAAATACAAAAATATTCACCGCACAAAACCCTGCTTAATCTTAAAGTACTGTTTCAGCAGTAAAAATATTTAATTTTATTCAAGTACATCTCTTGCTTGATTTAATAAAAGTCTGTACTTCCTTAAAAAGAATTTCATTTTCGGGTTCATATCGCCCTTCTATTCCAAACAAAAGTTTTCGTACACTAAGAGGATGAAAAGATCTTGTATTTAAGAACAATGTTCTTCTTTGTTCACTGTATAATTTGCATTTAAAAAAAAAATAGTGTTCTGAGTTTTCAATGTGTGCTCAACATATACAAGATGGACTTGAAACAATGTGATTATCATATAAATCCGAATTAAGGTTACTGCAGTTGTTTCTTAAACGAGTATGATGTACAGTAGAGAAGCGTTCACCTTTAATGAAAAATGAAGGGACCGATGGGGATTTAAATATTTTTTTAATGTTTGCTTTAAAGGAATGGAGGGATTCTGATTCACGTATATTAATTGGAAGTTTATTCCATAGTTGTAGTGCTGATGGTAAAACGGATTTCGAATAAATTTCTGTTCTTCTGACAATTGATGCGTAGTCTTGATTGTTTCTTAAAGAATATGGGTTTTCATGTGCATATTGTACAGATGGGTGAAATAATTGTATTAAATAAAGTGGTAATAAATTGTTTTTGCCTTTGTATATTAAAACTAATTTTTGAATATGTCTCCTATCTGAAAGCGAAACCCAACATATTTCTGTTAATAATTTTTGTATAGTAACTGATCTTGTCAATCCTGTAACAACACGGGCAGCTTCATATTGATTTTTTTCTAATGTTTCTTTCTCGTATTGCGCACAGTTATCCCAGACTAAAGACGCGTATTCTAAATGTGGACGTAAATATGATACATATATATCATTAAGTGATTCTCTTTTAATTATGAATTTGAGCATTTTCATGGAACCGAGCATTTTAGAGGCTTTAGATACTATGACTTGACTTGACTTTGACGTTGCGCTTTAAATGACATTGACCAAGAAGGTCATGTTATGAATTTTGATTAACTTGTCATATTTTTGTTATTTATATACAAATTTGATTTAAACTTGGACAAACAAAACAAAATTAAGATTTGACCTTGACCTTAAGTTGACTCTGACTGTCATGGTCAAATTAATAAATTTTCCTTTTATTGGCTATAACGTTGTTTTTTTTATAAATGGGTTAACTTTGTATTAAGACACAACATCTTTTACGCCAGGACCTCCATGTATATCAAACTCAATTTTACGTTGTCTCAAGTATGCAATTGACCTTTTCTTTTTTGATAGTTAAATTATTTTATATCTACTGATTATGGCTATTATTTGGTGTAACTTTGTAATAAATCAATGAATTATTTTCATACTTAGACAAAACAACCTTTTAAACAAAGCATTCTAAAAGTTTGAACTGACCTTGTCCATGATTTTTAAACGACCTTCACTATCAAGGTCAAAAATAATTTTATTTAAATTGTCATTATTTTGTTATATATGCACGATGAAATTCATATTTGGACATAACAACACTTTTGACCAAACATACATGAGGAATAATTTAGATATGACCTTGACCTTAAAATACATTGACCGTCAAATGATTGATTCTGAACTTTGGCATTTATTTATAGAAATGATTCGTACTTGGACAAAACAAAATGTGCGACTAGACAGACATATTAAAATTAAATTTAAATTCTTTAATTTTTTTTTAAAGATTTGTTCAAACCATTTATTTGTTTCCTTTAGGTAATGTAAAAAAGGTCGAGTGTTGACCACGCTCGGCGGTGACTCTTGTTTTATATTCTGTATTTACTTACTATTAGTGATTTGAATAACATGTTTATGAAATTAAGGAATAAATTTATTAAAAATATTGGAATTTACAATTGATCCATGGTTGAACCATTATGGTTCTTGGTCCTTCGATTAAAAACAAATATTGTAGTTTCTTTGTTAATCAGTAAATGTTTTGCATTTTATTTATGTACCATTTGACGATCAATTCAATTTCTATGAAGAAATAAATAATAATAATTAATCCACACTTTTAAATATTTTACACGTGGAAAGTGTTCCGATTTTTGTTCAAGGTATTGATCTCATACACTGAGTCTCATGGTCATTGGTTCAGATTAGTAGTCGGTCTTTTGCGGAAAAATTGAAAATCACTGTTTAGTCATTCTAGAAATTTAAAGCCGTTAAGGTTGACCGAGCGCCGAAAAATGAACAAATATTTTTTGAATTGGCAACGGAAACAACCAAACCATCAATCAAACAGTATAATTATAATGCGATGATTTTTGAAATGTTTTGGCTGTATCAATATCATTTATATCCCTAACCTTTACCTGTTAACCTATCAAAACTGATAATGTAACCCCATCACGTTTCTTTTCGTATATATTGTGAGCACTGAAAAAAAGCATAGCCAAAAAGGGGACTCCCCAAATTTTTTTCATTTAAGACTGCCAAATATTATTTATTATTTTATAGGGGTGGAGTTTTTTCGCTTCTAATGCTTTTTTAAAATATTTTTTCGGTCGATTTTACAGATTACCATCAGGCGTTGTCTGTGCAACAAAAATGTTTACCTAGGCTTCATGAATTTCGACACCTGTTACAAATAACCAACGTGTTGCAGCCTGTATCTTTTCAAGAATGCCCGGGTACATAAGTGCATGGGTTCCTTTGCTTCTGAATGAGCAAATGGGGTATCGACCAAACTTTTCAAAGGTGTAAAGATTTTTGAGAATCACTTCCTTCTGGTATTCTGCACACCTGGCTTTTTCTTATCGCGCATCCTATTTAAACTACAACATTAACACTGGCGCGTCTCCCTTGGTGACAGAGGCCTGTCATATTATAGGCCTACAAAAACTGGTGGCATACAGCTCATATAATTTTAAATTTGCACATAAAAATGACCTGAGGTTTCTAAATATCACATTTGAAGTTTTGAATCTATAACAGCCTAATGTGGCATCTATTTAAGTTACATGTTTGCGACCTTTTTATCACGTGACAAAAGCACTAGTCAGTTTGGATGACTGCTTTTATTTCCATTTAAAATTATTTTGTTTTTAATAAATTAGTTGGCACGCGTACACCATGAAAATGACGCCTTGCATCGACGAATGATGGCAATGATGAACAATTGGTGAATATAATGATGATAGTGTTCTGAAAATGATGATTCATTGATGATTATTTAAGGTATTGCCACCCTAATGGGCACTATAAGGAACTAAAAAATTGACATCAAAGGTCAGATATATACCTTAAAGTACACCTGTATGCAACATTTAAACAAAGTTTACCGTACGGAAATCAAGTTATGGCCACTTTTCTGAACTCAAGCTAGGATGTTATGAGGGCCCTTTTTTAGAACTGAGGAACCTTTAAATAATCTGCAATAACATTCTAATGCAAAATGTTATCCCATTAATTTTTGGTAAGAAACAAATAGTACCATTCAGCTAACAATCCACATCAGCAAAACTATGGTTTCTACTTAAAATTTATGAAATCTGTATAAAAAAGTTACCCTACTCCACCCATTTTTACCACGTGTCTGACTATTTTCCTAGTAAGGGAGCCTTATTTAAAAAAATCCTTAAAATTTACCCAAATGAGTGCCTGTTTTCAAAGTTTCCCTAAATTTTAAAAGAAGTATATTGGTTGATCTTGTAAAATATGAAATACTTTTACAGTCTAGTTTTGATTTTATTACACTTTGAAAATATTAGGTACCATATTTATTACTAGATTTAGCATAATTTAGCCGATAAATACCTATATAAATTTAAAAATCAAAATTAAACACCTTTTTCTTTCAAAATGTAACATGATGAATACATAAATAATGTTAAAAGAAAAACAGAAAGAAAAAAAAGTTGACCCTTCTGGGGATTGAATCCACGGCCCTCATTTTCAATGTAGTTAACAGTAGTTCTAGCCTATTTGAATACTCTTCAAAGCGAAGGTAATGCATTAGGATGGTAATACCTTAATAGAATGATGGTACCGATTATGATGATGATATATTGATGATGGGACAAGTGTTTTGTTTTACATTTGTATATGCACTATAAACTTCAATGTCAGTGAAAGATTTACTTAGACATTCGAAAGTTGTGTTCACTGCGATCTAAAATTTATAATAGCCAAGAGTATATTGTAAAATTTGCGGATTGCTTTGGTTTCTGCGCCTTGTATCAAACCAGATTTAGACAACGATTATGAAAAAATATTCTATTATGGGCAGCAGTTAAAAGATTGGTCTTGTAATATAAATCCGTTATAACGGATACTAAAGAGTAATCCTGATTTGTCAGTCATGCACTGTTAACAACAACATCTGACAGTGTTGCGGTAAAAGCACAAGTCGAAGTTTCGAATCTCGTCACGCCCAACATTTCGTCTTTACTTTGGAATTGTCTATGCATTTAACGTTCCCTAATTAGTCGTGTTAAAAAGGTCTTTATGTTAAGTATTGGCAATGGCAGCGCAGTTAATCCTGTGAAAAATGATTAGGATAGTATTTCAGACTATTTACTATGAACCTATACACACATTTCCGCCACAGAATCCGTTCCGAAAAAAAGCATTTTTGAACATTTTATTGGGTATACTGTTAATACAATGCTAGAGAGCGCTTCATGTGGCATTCGGCTTTCAAACTGGCGATCGTAAAGGCAAGATTTGATGTCTGGATTTAACCAATAGTCACAAAAAGAGAGGTAAGGGACTAAAAGGGCATAAAGAAAAAACCTAAATTCTTGCTCCCCAAATAAGCTTGAAGCAAGGTTTTGACCGGTGCGTAGGTGCTTTCCATAACTAATTTGAATCCTGTACAAACAGACCTTAGTTTTTTGTAAGTAGTGTTAACTCAGTGGAGACAGGGCCATCAAAATTTTGGGGACACTACCCCTCTAACAAGCGACATGGGCCATTTTCCGTCACTGTAAAAAATAGGTGTACAAACTTTTGAAACGCTGTCGCTTTTTATCTATAAAACATTTTGATACTCGTTCTTATCGGGCTAAAAAAGAACCCCACTTTCCATCCCCTGTGAAAATTTTCTTGTGGGCGTCTGGGGTCTCGACATTCAACCTAGTAAATAAGGTCGGGGCTTTTTCAAGCCGCCCCCCCTTTTTGGTAAAAGTTAGCAAAAGTGGAATCCAACGGCAAACACTTTCCATATGACGCACTTAGGCCCGATATGTCACTTTTTTCCTCCACGGTATATCTTGCACCTTAATCAACTATGGCGTTGGCAGTGCTCATGTCTTTTTCAGAGGTAGCGGAAATTGGCAGCCTAGGTCGGGTTTCATCTTTAACATTAGTTCTAAGTTTTACACCCACCTGACAGAAGAATATATTATATATTATCTTTCCAACGGTATATTAAACATGTACATTCACGTGCCAATCGTGGTTAAATTGAGCTGTTGCAACTAATTAGAATATGCCACACGTACCTTAAAAATGTGTAGTAGGAATATTTTTATGACATCTGTTATCATTATAAATGTGTTTGTTTTAAAATATATTCATAAAATCAATATAGCAGTACACTTAGCCAAATTTCTTATTAGTCACCCCTTAAAATGCCCTGTTTCGAAAAGTCTTAGCTATGCTTACCTATGGTTTCTGACATATTATTCAGAATGTTATTTAACTAAAAGATTGAAACCAAGTTATCGTATTAAAATCAACCATGCGTGACAAAAGTACGAAAGACAATTTCAATCACGTGCTGCTCCAGGAAATGTTGTTTGTATCAAATATGACGAATCAAAATCTTATTAGAAACAAAAATGTGTCGAAATTTTCAATATGTAAACATGGCAGCAATGTTGGTCGTCACAATTTCTTTGGGCTTTACATTGAATTCCCATTGGCAACGTTACTTAAAGAAAGTTTTAATTAAAATTGTTTTTAAGCTTTGCATGATTAAAACAAATGATAAATGAAACAAATTTATGAGGAAATTGGGAATATGTCTTACCCATAATGTGAGTCCGACATATTTCGACTCATTCCGTGTTGTTGCAAATCAAATATTCCCCGATATGACAAGGAAAAACATCAGAATAATTGAAAATGAATGTTTTCAGTATAAAGGATTTCAAGAAAATGTAAAAAAATATAGGCTGATATAATATTGAAGACTTTCCAAACATTTGACATTTATTAGAAAATTGGTTAAGAGTAATTATCATAACAAGACATTAATTCAGTAAGATAAAATGTGAATGTTTTAATTGATGATGGGGTCATTCTACAGGTGACGATGGTTTGAGTAAGTGTGGTAAATTGAGTATTGACAAACCAACAATACTAGGAAGGAATGTCACATTTTCTTTTACCCCCGACACATACGATCCAAATGCAATTCTAGAATGGCAGCGCAGCATGAATGGAATAGATCAATGGAAAACGCTTCCTTTAAACAACAACTTTACACAATATGAGAAAAATAGGATTTACTACCTGATTTTAACTGACAGTGAGAAAAACCAAGACGAGGGATTTTACCGTATTCATTATTATAATGAGACAATACATTGCTGGATGGATGCTGGAGAACTTACGCTTAAAGGTATTGTAGAATCAATATTGTTGCTGCATATTTAATTTTCTTTAATGTTTCAATGTATTTCGATGCTTATAAGTAAACAGGTAGCCACTATCTATAGCTAGCCATAATCAATTATCATTATTTTTATTTACATTATCTTACTGTAACTGCTTATTGAATATTTATTTATATGATACATTATATATGGTCTAAACCAAAAATGTTTATATCAACACAAATTAAATTACCATTTGCCTTACTATATTTTATTTTAAGCTATAAACAATTCGTGTGGACTCGTCTACCTCAGATCTGAAAAGGTGATTGTTAATGGAACCGTGGAAATCGAATATTATCCGTCAACTGATGTGATGCAAAATAGCGGTAGTTTCGAACGTAGATGGATACATTCCGTCGGAGGGAAACACAAAGTATTGACATTGGTTGGTGGTAGTTACGAAGAGAAATTTGAGCAAAATAATAAATATGTGTTGACAATAATCATGTTCAATATTTCTATGAATGGAGATTATGGTGTTTATTGTGGCTCTTCCGCAAGATACACAGATTTTATAACCGTGAAATTACCAGGTTTGTGTATGTTTCTAAACTGAAATATTTTTAAATCATAAATAACATAAACGGTGATATAGTTTGAAAACAAATAATAAAAGAGTAAAAAGCCATATTGATATACACTTGAAAGATACTTCTAACGCAACATATAAATATGATTTAATATGTCATTTAGTACTCTCTGCACATGAATGTAACGCAGTTATTCAAACATGACGGGCGGCCAGTTCTACTTGTTGATCGATTTAACATAAAGTAATGTGAGCGAAACACATTAATTATGATTATTTATAATATGCGATTGCCCACAAACTGACATCTATGACATTTTTATTTTTACACGAATTTTGACAGAATTATTGTCCGTTTAGAAGTCGTGAGTTTTTGTAACGTTTTGCAATTGTATGCAGCATTTAATCTTCAAAATTACTGAAGGTACTCACTTGTTAGATAGTACAAGTCTATGAGATGCCTAATTGGAAAAACGTTATTGGTTGAAGTTATGCATACAACAGCAGTATTTAAAACTACTGACGGTATTCACTTAAAATTCAAAATGTACATCTATTTGGAATAATATTTGGAGGTCACACTCCAAGGCTCATAACACTACCTTGACATGGTTTTTGACTGAATTATAACCCCTTTTGAAGTTCTTGGTGAAAGTTTTGCATGCAATATTTATTTATAAATTTATGAACTTATACTCTTGAAACTTAAATCGTGTCTCCTTCATCATAATGCAAGGTCATACAAGGTCCATAAATCTGATAAGATTTCTTTTTTACATTAACTTTCCTCTGACTGGCAGCTCTTGTAACGAAATGCTATTTCACTTTTACGAAATACTATTTCATTTTTTTTTACAAATTTTGATTCACTAAATACGAAATGTCATTTCGTAAATAATATTTCGTTTTAACAAGTGTTATTTAGCTTTTAACAAATGATTTTTACGAATAATTTTTCGTTTTTAAAAAATGTTATCATTTTTAACTTATGTTATTTCGTAATTAAAAGATTTACGGATGTCAGTTTATGGGCATCGTAATAATAAGTAAGCGACAATTATGAATTGTAAAAAATTCTTATTGTAATATGCTCTGCATTTAATATTGACTTGGCGCGGACCATCGGCTTGCATCAAGAAAGCCATTAAAAATCATCGATCAATTTTGCTCCTGGAAATGAACTGTTAATATCGCTTTTAAATGTAAGATTTCTATTTATAAGATTACGATTCATTTAAATTGTGGCACTTATTTTGCATTTCAAAATATACATGAGGATGCGTTGAATAAGTGCGAGCTCAAAACAAGCGTCGTACCAGCTATAGACGCTACCGAAAAAGAAAGCAGGCCCTGAAGCAGAAAAGTATAAAATTTCGCAGATATGTTTGTACAATATGTAACTATATCTATAACAATAGAATAGATCAAAATATTTCTTTTAATTTAGACTTGAAAATAGCACCTCATTCACAAAATGATCATGATAAAAGGCACGAAATAAGCAGATTTACAAATATTGAATAGGCAAAACAGAAGAAATATTTTATAATACATAAATTGCATTAGAAGGCAAGACAGATATATGACAAAAAATATATTTCACTTCATTTAAGAAATTCAATATAAGTTGCTAACGTAAAATCATGTATAATCTTTTATACCTTATATAAATGTTTTTGCGTTTCCTTTGATTCTGAATTTATTGTTTGATGAAGCTCATGGGAATGTCTAACTGTATTGCCTAGTTAAATAAAATACTTAAGTATCATTGTATATTTTTAACATTACTTTTAATATTATTATTTACAATTATTATTTGTTGTTATTGTTGTAATTTCCAAGATAATGATTCCCTAATCAGATTTTAATTATATCAAAATAACGTAGGTATTGCGTTAGAAGTGTGGTTCAGTGTGCATATTCATGTTTACATACATTCAACAAGTGCGTGTATAGTACTATTCACAAGTCTTTCAAAGCAAACTATTCAAATATTTATTAATCAAAATGAATATCAACAATTCATTATATTTCGTTGTTGTTAACAAAATCTTTTAATAGTATTCATATTTTTCAGAACCACCAAGTGTACCTGTAATAATTGGATTACAAGACATAGATAATTGCAGGGACTGTATCGTTGGTGAGGAGAATGAGATGTTCAAAATTGCTTGTGAGATACACGGTGGCACTCCTCCTCTTACCGTTACCATGACAATAGGAAATGAATCGTATAAACCTCTAGACTCGAACTTAACAACTTTTATGGTATATTTCACGGTTAGGGACCACCATCACATGGAAAATGTGATATTTTCAGTAATGAACAATGCACTGTCGTCACCTTTAAATGTTACAGCTCAGATGTTTGTTATAAGTAAGTATACTATGCTAATTTATGTGTATTTAAGATGGTATGTAGGGTACTATTACACTTTGTATACAATACCAAATATTCACTCTTTGTTTTATGTGATTTGATTAACGTAATCTCATACATTTTTATACTTTTGATATGAATGTTTTATTAACAATTTTATTGTGATATAACCTTTATTTGTATATTTACAGAACCACCCACTTTTCAATTTTTGGTGCCGGAAATTCTAAGAGATGGAGAAGCTGTTAACATCACATGTACGTTAGATGACGGAAGACCTAATCCGAATGTGAATTTTAGCATTTCCGGTACGGACGTATCGTCTGCAAACTCACATTATTATAATTCGACTTCATCTTTACATACTAATATTATCACGCTGACGTCATTCAAGAAAGAATGGAACAAAGAAAACATCACGTGCTGTCGATATAACGAATGGTACAAAATTGCGCGGGAATGTTCACCGCCAAAACAAGTTAATTATTATTGTACGTTTTTCTTTCTGTTAGATTTGTTTAACATATTGTGTATACTACATTATATCATGTTTCATTTATAGCCTGCTGAGTGCCCTTATATTTTAGATTCTTTTTACTTGATATAATTACATACTGATGTAGTAAGTGATGATATTGCATAAAAACACATGTACTGTCATAGGCAAAACAAACAAATATCTTCTGGAAAAAAGAAACTTTTATTTTCAGCCTGTAACATGAAAATGTATATTGTATTAAATGAAAATTGTTTCAATAACAGTACATGGTAATTAAGTTTAGTTTATCGTTTTGTTTAGTTCCTCCCACAGATGTGATGTTAGAAGTCAAAGTTGATGAAGACAGACTGAGCCAAATGTATGCTACATGCACTGTGTATGGCTCGAACCCAGTCTGTAGCGTTCAGTTTAAAGCACAAAGCGGTATCATCGGATCAGAAAAGTCTTCAGAGAACATAAGTCTACCCCATGGTGCGTGGAATTCTGTGTATGAAGTAAACTTGAATGTCAGAGAAGAAGACGATGGCAAAAATGTAACGTGTATGGTCAAGTGTGACGAGTTTCCTGTTGACCTTATAGACACTGTCAAAATACTTCTGCCTTGTAAGTTTCTAAATATTTCGTTAAAGTTGTTGACACAGATTACATTTAATATTAGATAGATATCTGACATATCATAAAATTCTGAAGCTCTCAGAACTAAAAGATAATTGATAAGAGATACAAAGATAAAACTTGTAAGTCAGTGCCACTTTTTAAACATTTAAATTAGTATTAAGCGAACTAGTTAGACAGATAGATAACGCGATAATTATATGGTATACTTTTGACAGAAATATGCCACGATAGTACAGTGATCCATTTTTTCTGATCAATTTGTTGCTGTGTTTTTGTTTGTGTGTGCGTATCTGTATCTGAGCTAATCATCAAGATAAATATTCCGATTTTACAAAACATTATGGCAAACATGATATTGTATTAAAATCAAATTTCAGACCCTCCAGTTATAGAGTTCAATATATCTGGATCGACATTGAATATTTCTACAGGAGAGCGGGCACATGTAAATTGTGTAGCTGCAAGCGTTCCTGCCTCCAATATATCATGGATTGAAGAGTTAAGTAATGGAAACATAACAAAGAAGCAATGTGGCTTGTCACCAAACTGCGTATTAAATATTGATACTGATGAAAATTCAAAAAGACGTTTTATGTGCCAAGTTCACTATAAGACAAAAGTTGATCGCAAATATTTGACTGTACACATAATAGGTAATGCTTTTACATCCCATTTGTTCGTTAAAGTGTTTCTATAAATACTTTCATTATAATTTCCAAAAAATAAGAATCCATGCATTGTTAAACAGAGTGTTTAAGTTACAATTTGTAAAATGTAGAAAAATGTCGTTTGTATGTTAATATTATGTTTAACAATTTGAAGCGTTTCCATTTAAATGATTCAACTTTCTTTCCGATGTGATACTTGTTAACAGCTTACCTATGCTTTTTTACAAACATAAGTTTATAACGAGTCCCAGTCATTGCGAAGTCTTAACACTCTGTATCTAGGAGTTAAAATATATTACCACTACATAACCATAGACGTGAAATTCATGTAAATTAATCTAAGTAAGTGATTAGCTAATTTTAAGGAAAATATTCATATTTATATAGAAAAAGCCGATAAAGACAGTAACTACAATGATAAACAGAAAAATAATGGCCAAGCTTCAGACAAGTCCATAATTTGGATAATACTGGGTGCATGTGTACTTGTGGTCGGTATCATTGTTATAGCGGTCTTGTTTGTTGTCATAAGGAAAAAACGCCTAAATTCTACAGGTAAGATTGACTTTATATCTTCTACGAAACACGGCGTCATTTGCAGTACCTTGTATAGGTTATCAAACGTTGCTACAAGTATAAGCATTTCCTTAAAATGCAAGAAATCAGCCGGGTATTCCAAATTTTGTAGCAAAATTGACTCCTTCCTGGACAGAAGAGTAAATGTTCTTTCTTTAACAGAAATACTCCGGATACTGTTTACCCCACAGGAGTCTACAAACAGGTTTCGAGATTTGTGCATGAAGGTAGTTATTCAAATCTAAATACAGGTAACCCGACAAAACAAAAAAAAACAAAAACATGGCAGACTGCTGTTCCAACGGCGCAACTTTTTAAGGTCTTTTGTCATCCATTTTGTTATCATGTGGTATTAAATTCTCCATTCCGATTGGCTGAGCACATGCAGTGTATAAATGTCCAAATCTTGATAGTTATATATACCGCCGTCCAGGAACGGGACACTTATTCCGAAAATAAAAACTCATTGCCAATTTTAAAATTATCCATTGAATACGGAAAGTAAAACCGAACTCATATGATGGATGAAAATAAAAACGCTGAAATTGTTCAGTGCTGTTTTATTTGCGCTCATCATTCAGGAAAAATAAATACGCATAAAATATCGAAATGTTCGACATACACGTACAGTGTTTAAATCATCAAAATATGTATTTTAGCTCAAAAATGAAGAGAGCATTTATACCAGTTGTGTTCGAGTACGCTACACGAAACATATCCTTTGACTAAAAGACCCTGGACTGAGCTTAACAACTTAAACACAAGCCTGTCAGATTTTTGGACTGAGCTTAACAACTTAAACACAAGCATGTCCGATTTTGTACAAGCAAGCCACATGTCTGCATAAGTGACTTTTTTTCGTTGGACACTTTCATATCAAAATTTTCTGTTTTAGGCACTCAATATTAGTTTTAAGCTTATTCCTGTTTAATTACGTTTACCTATAATTACAAAATGTTTTTGTATTTACAAACGGCATTATTAGTTATGTTGGCATTTCTTTTATATGTTTTTCTTCAACATTACAGAAAAGAGGGACAGCCAGGTAGATTATCACAAGCATGAGGATGACGTAGTGTAAGTGTCTCTTTACTCTTAATAAATACTTTATCAAAGAAGTAGCTTGTTTGTAAACATATATTTAAGACATTTGTCTCAGGTAGTACAAAAACAACAACAGAAAAATCTAACTTTTTCTGCAACTATATATATGTGCATATAATATTTTATGTTGGCTTTTTAAATATATCTTAAGCATTAACGATCAAAATTTGATTGTTTTATCACATGATATTGTAATAACTAAAACCTTTTTTAAATGATTTGTATATTTCATATTTGTGCCATGTTACAATTTAGACTGTTCAATTTAAATCTAATTTTAATCTTAAAAAACAATCATGAGAATCATGGTCCTGTGTATACGATTGCAGATTTTCTAAACAAAACCCGGAGGTTCGTACTTTGGGAAACTTTAATCAGAATGCGCATGTGCTTGAGAACGCGGCAGAAGTACCTGTATATTCTCAACCAGTTAAAAAGAAAACTATAGAAGACTCGGACAATACATATGCGCAAGTAAACAAAACAGGAACATCAGCTTCTTCTTCAAAAACGGTAAAGGTGTGGATAACAATTATCACATTTTCATTTGTTTTTAAAATTATATAGAGACGTTGTGATGGCCATGGCTTGCGCTAGGTAATTTGCATATTTGATATAACAATTTACTTGACTGAACATTTGTAACAGCTTTTCATCAGTATGCATTTAGATTTAAATATTATGAAATCTGGAAAATAAGTATATTTTATGTTTGTGTTTGATTTAATTTTAAGCCCCAACATGCACAGGACGGACAATTACTATATGCTGATCTTGCCTTTGATCCAAATGAGACTCCATCAAAAGCAGCAGTTGCCAAGCGGCGAGATTCCCCGACAGAATATGCTGATATAGATTATGTGAAGACAAAAACTAATAAAGGCATTGATGATACTCCTACGGAACAAGACAATATTTATGCAAACCAGTAGATTTATTTGATACTAATGACGTTTGTGTCATTGAAAAAAAAATCAACTTTACACACGAAACACTGTAAATATTAGCATGTGTATGCGAGTGTTTGTCAGGGCTTATTGCCAATACCTTAAGATTTAATCTGTCGTGAAATCAAGTTATTGAACTTTGATGAACTGCTTTTTGTGTTATGTGTTTTTCCTATGTTTTTTATGACAATGTTTATTGCGCATGCACCTTTAACTGAAAATTGCAAACAGAATATTTTATCATTAATCAATGTAGTTCTATTGTTAAAACCCTTTTTTTTTAAGTTTCACTTGCTATTTTATAAAATTGACAAATAGAAAGTCAGACAGGTATTTTATTTACATTCAGAACACCTTACCGATAAATTATAATGGACTCGGAAGTAAGGATTAAAAGAAATTGCCTGTCTTTGAATAGTGTTACAAACAATTATAAGTGTAAACTAAAAATCATGCCATCCGCACTTTTTGATTGTTACGATATGATAGTCCACGCATAAAAAAGTAAGTAAAAAAGATGTTCAGTTCTATCACCACAAAGGTCGATAAGACTTTGATAATGTCAAACATCTGAAACGACACACCACGATAAAGTTTGATTCATGATATTTTGAAAGGGATAAAAGGTAAGGAATACAGTGTTTCACAATAACCTATTTCAATGCGCTATGGGAGGTGTTAATGAGTTTATCATTTGCACAATAATTTTGAAACACGTTTTGAAAACGCCGAACCTAGTTTTTCTTTATCTTGCGTAAATTAAATGAAGGAAGTACAATGTATGCCTGGTACATATTGACTGTTTCGATCCTCGGACTCAATGTTGAACAGTATATGTAACGGATCTGAATGCATCCTGTCTCTTCCCCTCAGTACGTGCACGCCGTAGAGAAAGTATAGGGCATCGGCATAAGATTTGGAGCCTGGCTGCATCACCAAGGACACGTTGACTGGTTAAGATCTGAGAGTTGTTTTTAACATAAAGGGTAGGTTGGAAAAAAAACTCCCAATCGTGGGTAGGATTAAGCTCTATTCAAACACGACTCAGTGCCCAGGCGCTGGATGGGGTTTGCAAAAAGGCGGAAAAAACGGAAAATTTACCCCTGCCAGAGAGAGTGCGGGGTTTAAAAGGGAGGCCCTTAATTTTGGATAACAGTCCTTTTCAGGGCTACCTCATCCTTTTATATTGTCCTAGGTACTGCTACTGTTAGGCTCTCATTTTCCGCCGTTCAGTGACTTTATTTTGGTTTAAAATTCATATCTTTTATTTAAACAAAACTGAAATTGCTTGTAGGTCCATTCTTTCAATTAGTCTGGAAAATGTCTGATGACAGGTCAATACTCGACAGGGAAAAAATGCAATTCAGGCCTGAGAGGGCGGATGGACCGTCATTGAGAGCATAGACTGTAACATACGGACAAAATACATCACAAATATGTGTTTGAACAACAGAATAATGTCTTGAATTATTTCATTGATACTGAACAAGTATTAGATATATTGTTTTTACTGTTTTAAATAACTTCAAAGTTAAAACAATTTAAAATATTTCCATACAATAAAAGTATTCGATACAGTATACACCAGATTCTAGATTACGTGTACTACGTCTAATTTAATTTTTCCTTAAATGCGCAGTACGCTTCATAGAAATATATATATATATATATATATATATATATATATATTATATATATATATTTTTTTTTAAGAGTATGTTAGATGCTTGTTACCTGATGAAAAAAGCACTAAATGCAAAATAGTTTGTCTTAAAAGTAGGAAAATGTACGCAAAGTACTAATTTCACTTTCATAACACAATTCTAAATCACTTCATTTGTACTAACGGCCAAAAGTGCAACAGGAAACAAAGATGGTTCAGGTAATTGGTCAATGAATAACTATAAATATACACTAAAGACTAAAAATAAAAAAAGCTTTTCATCAGCAAAAAAAAATATTGCTGTGGCATAATGTCCCTTTAAAAATTTATATAAAAAAAGCATAGTACAAAATGAATCTTAAACTTAAACATCTTATATGAAACCGTCTCAGTACAGGATAAGGTAATAAAAATTCTATATTTAATTTCCGAAATCACTAAATATTCAGGAAATCAGACACATGTTGTTATCTGATAAACTGCAGACGAATATTTTCAATTTAAACACCTTTCCAGCTGAATTTATGCAATTGGAACTCCCTGCTTTGAATTTAGCACAGTTCATTTGAGGTTAAATGGATTTCAATATATAAAACAAAAAAATGAGCCACCAATATATACATGTTTATAGCTTAAGTATAGATTTTTGTGTGAATCCTAGGGAGGCTTGCGTTACTCTTAACTTTTGCAGAGTGGCGACATGGCCGAATGGTCAACTCATCGGTAATCTAAGGATTGCTGACGCGTGGATTCAAACCCTGCCAGAGGCAAGACGTTGTTTCCCTGAGCACGAAAATTGCGTTCATCGGTTGGGCTCAGGAACGGATTCGAGAGTGTTCTAATAAGCTTATAGCTTTAAACATAATCGAACTAAAATAAATTTGTATAAACTAATAGCAATATAGCAACTTAATCAGCAGTGTGACATTGATATACATCGTCGAAAATAGACCTCAATATAGATTATTTCAGAATAAAGAACGGTAACTCTTGCACTTAGAGCATGGAATTTGTAGTGATGGGGATATATCCATTTCACCTTATTAACTTTTCGCATATGCTATTGGAAGTTTTTTTTTAAAGATCGGTTTTAATGTTCAATCATTATTTCATAAGCGTTCAAGTAACATATGGTAAAACCCTACAAAATATTTTTATTACTTTCATTTTGGAATGTAAAACGACACCTTATCAAAATAATATGATAAACGTTATGACATTCTTTACTAACTTTTGGGTTCTTACCGTAAATGAGCATTTTGCAACAAACGGATGATTAATAAGTATAATTTTCCTGATTGTGGTATTTAATGGTCATTTATGTTCCTTACACTCTCGAAAACATATAGTTGTATTTAATGGTCATTTATGTTCCTTATACTCTCCCAGACATATAGGAATCCTGGTGCCAATCGAAACAGTGCAACCATATTCCTGGAACTGTAACTATTCATATACGTACATATTTTTGTTATTTACGTATATTCAATCAAGCAATTCGACCGCGCTGCTCTAGAGAAATTTAATTTTATAAATACTGTATTACATTGAGATCAGTAATCATTAACATTAAAGGAATACTATGCTCATCATAAAAGTAAAGTATTTTTATTGCAGAATAATTTTGAAATATATAAAATTCTTACTCGATATGTCTTATTATAATAAAAGAACGTTCAAACTATGTATGGGAATCTGCGTTCCTTGTTACGTATGAAGTAAAGCAGTTCCTTTCTTTAAAAAAAAACTGCTTTTTTTATATTGCACTATATACTCATTGTGTGTCCACTTATAGTGTGTAGGAGTTAAAGCATTACATATCTACTTTGTGTGAAGTCAAAATATGTTTATTTTATATTTTCAAAAAGACCATGTAGCAGTTATTGATGTTTTCAAATATCAAATTTGAGCAAAGTATGTGTATAATAAATCATTAATTTAATTTTTAACTTTGGCAATATTCTACATCTATCAGGCATTTAACATGTACTGCATCTACGCCGACACCCGCTAGTCCATTTCACAGCTGTGCTACTGTAATGTAATGAGTACTATATTAGACTTTCAGGTTTCCTTATGCCACTACAATTATGTTATTTCTTTTTTTCTGAGACCCTTGCTGACGTGCGGGAATCCAAGTGCCAGTTAAAATTATGACATGTTTGACGATTGGGCCCCCACCAGAGTAGATTGCACATTTGTGATTATTTCAATATCTGGGAAAAGTGATCCGTCAGAAGAATTAATATCAGCAAAATGACATGAAAATTGCTCGGTTTGATTGAGTCTGTACATTACACATAATGAAAATGCTCAACATCTCTCACACGCCCAGCACCGGCTTGAACAGTACTCAATTTCCAACACTTAATGGTGCTTGAATCAATGATTTCTAATGACCAGAAAAATAGAAGAAAATAACAACACTAAATTGAAATACAGGGCAACTTTGTACGGCTGTCACACATAACCTGACATCTGCTGTTGAAAACTTTAAAGAATCCCAGGTGTCAATCGACATAAATGCAATTTTATTTCCGGTATATTCCAAAGTCTATTACACAGCTGTCTGCAGCAGTTTCTAAGACAAAGACTTGTAGAAATCTGATGCCAATCGACATAATGACACTTTTGTCTTCATTTGACCCTTTTGGGTACATTTCATGACTCTGCCATTGTTATTTTCTAAGAAATCCTGGTAAAATTTGCCATGTTAAATTGTGAGAAAACTGATAGCCATTGCGGTTGATGAGGGAGTGAATAGATAAAAATTCTTAGAGAACATATCAAATTTATTTACAATTAAGAATTGAACTTTCTCTTCTCCTCCAATATTGAAATATATTTTAAGGAAAGTTAATATATGAATATTTCATTACAATTTTACAAAGCATACAAGTTTCAAAAATATGCATAACGGAATGTCAAAACTAGCAAAGTTTTAAATGTAAATATTTAGAAAATTCAAATAGAAATAGACCAGAAAAAATATAAGAGTTTTATAACAGATTTTGGTAGCTGCATAAACCTTAGCAGATGTATGTGATATTTCTTTCTTTTCTTTAGTCATACACAAGTAACATAAAGCCACTTTTATGAAATTGTAAGAAAGTCTCTAAACTAGCGACCAAGGCATGTGATGGGATAATACACAGTTACTTAGAAGGATTAACATCTAATTTATGACCTTTTTTATAAGTTTGTTTACCAATAAAAAACGTCTGTAATCATTTAGCATTCAGAATAAGTTTCTAGATATAATTTGAAACAAGATATATCAAAACCAGTTAGAACGCCGAAGTCTTATTAGGTCGGAGTAAATTAAGTTTTAAAATTAAAAAAATATTGAATTCACTATGAAATTTCGACAAAGCTTAAACGTTTTGATGTGTGCTCAAACTCTGAATTTTTATCCTATGCAACAATGTTCGCTTAGGAAAGTAAGTTTTCATTATGTTACATTTTAATACATTGTATTCAAATAAATAC